CCTTCATCCAAACCATGACAACTTTGGGATGCACCAAGTAGCATGACATTTATTAGGAATAAAGACTTCTGATGTCTGGTGCATTTCTGCATGCAGGGGTCATTATGTTACCGCTACGCGGTATCTAGTTTAAATCATGAATTCTTCATGTTTTTGTATTAAACAAAAACAAAAACTTAAAGTGTCTGTGACATGCCTATCCTTCAAATACAAAAAGTCAAAGATATAGAAAATATCTTCATATTTAGGAAAATTGGCCTAAAACTCATGATTTAACATAGTTTGTCCCATAACTGGCATATTTTCCTTTGAATTAGGCTCATATAAAGTGAAACAGGAAGTGACATCAAAGGAAAACTCTTTAAGAAACAAAACTTCCTGGTAGTTGTTTATTAAAACAACATTATTTGAACTCTGACTTTTCTTCATCTCTCTTAAAGGGACTAAAATTATCTAAAGAAACATCAGAAGATTCCCTGCTGTCTGTGTTGTTGTAGCAGAGCTCTGTTTACATGCAGACATTCCCCTTTGACATCACTTCCTGTTACTTCACATGCAAAAAACTCAACAACTGTTCACATCAGTGGCATGAAATTGCTTTTTCAATATGTTATCCATGTTATCTTACCAAAAGCGCATTCAAATTCATCACAAACATTTGATGTCACAGGCACYGTAAAGGACAGGTGCTGATCAAGCTCTTTATTTGAGAAATGAGGAGAAAAAAAGGCATAAAATTCCAGAAATATTGGGTTTATGCAGTCCACATTTTAAATGAGCTACATTTTGTGTCATTTAATAAAAAAGTCCAACCTGTATGAATATGTAGTCATCTTGAACCACCAGAGAGCTGATGTCGATGTACCCGGGGAACGGGTAGTTCCTGCTGGCTTCAGTGCACATCTGAGCTCTGCAGGTGACGTACTGCACATCTGCAGGAAGTGGAGGTGGTGAAGCACATCAGCAACGACTGAAACTCAAACCAGCATCAAAACATTCTCATACACATCAAACAGTGTGTTTGTGTCTGACGTGGATTCTGCAGGTTTGTTTGCCTCCCWTCTGTGACTTCTGAGGTTTTCTGGGGTTAATTTATTTCTCTTTGTTCTTCCTGGTTTTCTCAGTGTGCAAACACCATTAAACAACCATTTAGGCCTGTCAATCAAACTGTGGCATCGAGCAGGAAATAAAAGCTTGCATCTCAGAGGGATGCTCTGCCTTCATCCCAAACTGCCATAAAAAGTTGCACTTATTATAAAACAGAGCTTAACAACACTGCTGCTCAGAGTTATGGAGCTGACATTCAGGGAGGGAGAGGAAGATGAAGAAAGGCTGTGTTCATCAGGTTTAATGCTGGGGCGGGACAAAGWTTTATTCCTGTAAACTTACTGAAAACACTTACTTCCATCTGGTGTGTGAGCCTCCATGTGGATCAGGTCTGGGTCTTTGTCCAGGCCTGCCACCGACCTGCGGAACAGAAACAGCAACAGAAAATACAGAAAGCTACAAATGGGACACAAAACAAACTCAGAAATAATAGAAAATCATAAATAAACAGAGTTTTTCATTATTTACCTCTACAAATGAAAGTTTAATCAGGACTTAAAGCAGCTACTTCCAAGAAAATAAATGATTTTACTTTTGCCTCATTTAGTATTCTGGGATATGTGATTATGCAAATAATACTCCAGCTAAGAGCAGAACATTTCTGTTTTTCAGGCTGTCAGGAGGTGAAAGAAAAACACAGAAAAGGTCTTTGTAGCAGCTCTCAACTGAGAGGATCACACATTTACACACCGACACATTCTGCAGGGACATTGGACAAAATATAAAGACATGGACAGAGACATGGACATAAAGACAGGAGACAGAGACATGGACATAAAGACAGGAGACAGAGACATGGACATAAAGACAGGAGACAGAGACATGGACATAAAGACA